TAGACCCAGCCTTGCTCTGCAGCCAGGGCTGCTGTTCCTCTCCCTCCTGGGTGCTGCTGTTCCAGCCCCATGGAGGGAAGGAGCACTTTGGGCAGGGGTGCCCTCCAGTTGTCTTCAGAGCTCTGTGGGGAAACCCAGCAGAAGGAACTGCTCGCAGGGCTGGTGTGCTGTGTCTCCTGCCAGCTGGAAGGACTCTGGAGACCAGGGCATGGGCAAGTGTCTCCCCCTGGCCATCCTGACCCACTGCCAAAGGCGATGGGTTCAGAGGTGCTAGGAGTATCCAGACATGTCGGTGGGGGTTCAGGGAGAACGGTTGTGATGTTGCCCTCTTTGAGCATCCTGGGATCTACGTGTGCTTTTCTGCACAGATCCCCTTGGCTTGCAACAGGGGAAACTCCTAACCTGCAGCCAGATTTGGGGATCGTTCTTTTGCCTTCATAGCAAGGCTTTTCCTGCCAACCTGTAGCATTTGACTGTCACTTTGGCAGAAGCTGGAGTGAGGGGCTGCCGATGCTCCTGGGAGGGATGAATGCCCAAAGGACTGTTTCAGCTAGATGGAAGATCTTATTTTTGGCATAGACTAGCACAGACACTGCCTTTTCTGGGTGTCATGCAGAGGTGGCCTCACCCTACAATATTCTAACCTGGTTTTTTAGCTCCTTTAATGATTTGGGATCTTTCCTGGGAGAAAGGAGCAAAACTGAGCCCTACCTCTGGTTCTGGAGTGCCACCACCCTGGGGCCAGGTAGTGGCTTTGGCAGCAAAGTCAGAAGGCTCCGGCTATTGCCTCCTCTTTGGTTTTGTTCTTCTCTGGGGGAGGGCTGTCTGAACCGTGGGGCTACAATTCTAGCTTGTAGAAGTTGCACCATTAAAAGCTGTCTTCAGAAAAGCCCTTGGAGAGGCCGGGTCTGTGCCTGGGCTGTGTCAGGGCTGTGATTGTATGAAAAGGTGACGGAAAAGGGGGAAAAAGGGGCCACTGCAGGCACAGTGGCTGGGGTCGCTGGGGGGTCCCGTTCCCCGGGCACTGCCCCGTCCCTTGTCCCCTTCCGCGGTGTCCCATCTCTCTTTCAAAACGCATCTTGGAGGGAGGGGGTGTCCCGGTGGCAGCCCCTCGGTG